CAGGATGGTCTCGATCTCTTGACCTTGTGATCCACCTGCCTTGGGCTCCCAAAGCGCTGGGATTACAGGCTTGAGCTGCCGTGCCCGGCCAAAAAAATATTTTGTTTAAAATTAGTTTTAGCTTTAATGAGGCACTAATGCAAAGGTGGAATTTGGTTTTCTCTTCTGAACAAGATTACTATATAATACTAAGAGATGGCTGGGTGCAGTGGCTCACGCCTGTAATCCCAACACTTTGGGAGGTGGGGGCAGGTGGGTCACCTGAGGTCAAGAGGTCGAGACCAGCCTGGCCAACATGATAAAACCCCATCTCTACTAAAAATACAAAAAAAAAAAAAAAATTAGATGGGCATGGTGGTGGTCACCTGCAATCCCAGCTACTCAGGAGGCTGAGGCAGGAGAATTGCTTGAACCTGGGTGGTGGAGGATACAGTGAGCCAAAATCATGCCACTGCACTCCAGTCTGGGTGACAGAGACTCCATCTCAAAAATATATCTATATCGAGAGACAATAAAAGTTATTTTGCCTTTTAGATGAACTACAAAAAGAAATGGAGTGAACAGGACAGATTCAGATAGGTTCATGCTATCTTTATCGTATCTTGTTGCTTGGAAAGCTGAGTCTCTCCTCCAGTAAGTAAAGGTTTTTGCCTTTTTGAAATCTTTGTGTTATCATTTTGGCTAAATAAATGACTTATAGTAACTTGGGATTTTATTTTATAACATCAAATATTTTGAACCATTGATATTTGCCAAACTTTTCAAAATCAAATTCTAAATTAAGTTTTTTGACCTGATTAATCACTTTAGATATTAGGTTTTCCAATGTCCAAAAAAGACATATTCAGCTTATTTGATATATTAAAATTTTGCAGGAAGCATTGTCAAATGTAAAATGGTATTTTTTTGAGTTATGTTCAGATAAATATTTTAGTATGTTACAAAATTATACAAAATTTCTATAATTCTGACATGTCTCACTATATTAGCAATAATAATTATAATTGTTAAATTGTGTAGCACAAAAATGACTGAATTTCCTTATCAATTGTGTCTTTAACTGTAGCTGTCCTACAACTTTTGTCATTCACAGAAAATTGTTGTCTTGCTGTAATCCTTTTCAAAAGGTGGTTTACAATCAGCTATAGGACTCTGATGAGTATCGTTAAATGCAGGTCTCTGATAGCTTTAAAAATTGTGCCATTGAGCTAGGTGTGGTGGTCCATGCCTGGATTCTCAGCACTTTGAAAGGTCAAGGCAGGCAGATCTCTGGAGCTTAGGAGTTCCAGACCAGCCTTGGCAACATGCTGAAACCCTGTCTCCACAAAAAATACAAAAATTAATCAGGTGTGGTGGCATGTGCCTGTAGTCCCAATTACTCAGGACGATGAGGTGGGAGGATCACTTGAGCCTGGAATACAGAAGTTGCAGTGAGCTGAGATTACACCACTGCACCTGAGCCTGGGCAACACAAGTGAGACCCTGTCTCCAACAAAAAAAGAAAAAGAAAGAAAAAATAAAATAAAATTTAAAAACGGTACTGTTGGCTGGGCATGGTGGCTCACGCCTGTAATCCAAGCACTTCGGATGCCAGGGTGGGCGGATCACCTGAGGTTGGGAGTTCAAGACCAGCCTGACCAACATGGTGAAACCCCATCAATCAATCAATCAATCAATCAATAAAAATGGTACTGTTAAAACAGAAGAAAAAACTTCCAAAACTGTTGTAGAAAGCCAATATATTCATAGACTACTGGCTCAATATCCATGCTATAAAGAGTTAATAGCATAGACTAAACTAATAAAAATGTAATCTTTGTGATTTTTTTGCTTTGAACGTTTCTGATTCCTTCTGTTGTTTTTCAGAGTAAAGAAAACTTGTTTTTCTTCTGAGCTATTTACAGCTTTTAGCAATTGAATAAAGTATAGTCCTGTAAGCAAAATTTGGAGCATATTTCTTTCATCTACCTGATTTATTTAGAATTTGGAAACTATTTGTGAGTACTCTTATGGCAATATGGTTATTTGCACAAGCGCAATAGAAATCTGTTTTCTTTTGTAATAGAACACAATTAAAGACATTGGTTATTTTACCAAGGCTTTGACTGGAATGGCATGGTTTTGACTATAAACAGATTGCTTTTATGCAATCAAAGTTGACATCTAAGGCCAATAAAAGCCATTTAGAAAAACTGGCCATATATGCTTTATCTATTCAGTACCTGTATAGGGTTCCTTACCTGTGGTAAATAAAGAATGTCACTTTCTGAAAGGCCCAGGAGCCTCCAGTTATCTTGGGACCTCAAAAGGAGAGGAATTCACCCAACTCATGCAGATACTTCCAAGCACAGATAAATCTGAGGCTTCTACAGGACAGATTTTCATACTGTCACAGAGTAGCTACAAAGATAGGAAAACCTGCCAAAATTATTAGATCAGGTAGCAAGCGATTATCTATGCCTCTTTGTGGCTGAGCTCAAGGAAAAAAGCAATTTCTGTCAAAATACATTTAAAGAGGTTTATCCTTAGCCAATATGAGTGACTGCAGCCTGGGGTTACACAATCTCAAGAGGTCCTGAGAAAGCGTACCTAAAATGGTGAGGTTACAGTTTGCTTTATACATTTCAGGGAGACAGGAATTGTATGTAAAGTCATAAATAAATACATGGATAGTATACATTGGTTCATTTCAAAAAGGCAGAACATCTACTGGGGGAGAGGGGCAGTGCTTTCGAGTCATAGATTGGTTTTGAGGATTTTTAATTTTTTTTTTAGATGTAGTCTCGCATTGTCACCTGGGCTGGAATTCATTGGTGCAGTCTCAGCTCACTGCAACCTCTGCCTCCCAAGTTCAAGCAATTATTCTGCCTCAGCCTCCTGAGTAGCTGGGATTACAGATGCCTGCCACCATGCCCAGCTAATTTTTTGTATTTTTCGTAGACACAGGGTTTCACTGTGTTGACTGGTCTTGAACTCCTGACTTTGTGATCTGCCCACCTTGGCCTCCCAGAGTGCTGGGGTTACAGGCATGAGCCACCATACCAGCCAGAGTATTCTTTAGTGGACAGTTGGTTGAGAGAGTTAAGCTGTTATCTAAAGACTTGAAGTCACTAGAAAGGAATACCTGAGTTAAGGTAAGTGGGCTATGGGGCCAAGGTTCTTGTTATGTAGACGAAGCCTCATAGGTGGCATCTCTCAGAGAGGATAAATGGTGAATGTTTCTTTTGAGACCTTAAAATATGTTGGGCTCTCTTAAATCTGGGAAAGGCCTAGAAAGGGAAGGCCTGGCTGCATGAATGGAGATTCTCTACAGATGCAAATTTCCCACAAAAGACGGTATGCAGGGCTATTTCAAAATATAGAAAAAATTTATTTTCTGGTTAAATACTTTTATTTCCTTCAGGGTCTGCTGTCATGTGATGCTACACCAGAGTCAGTTTGGAAAGTAAATCACATTGTACCAGATTAATATATATCTGCCTAACTAGATGTTATGGTTTGTAGGGCATGACTCCTTGGGTCCCTTAGATAAGAATTTGGGCTGGGCGCGGTGGCTCACGCCTGTAATCCCAGCACTTTGGGAGGCCGAGGCGGGTGGATCACAAGGTCAGGAGATCGAGACCATCCTGGTCAACATGGTGAAACCCCATCTCTACTAAAAATACAAAAAATTAGCTGGGCATGATGGCGCATGCCTGTAATCCCAGCTACTCAGGAGGCTGAGGCAGGAGAATTGCCTGAACCCAGGAGGCAGAGGTTGCGGTGAGCCGAGATCACACCATTGCACTCCAGCCTGGGTAACAAGAGCGAAACTCCGTCTCAAAAAAAAAAAAAAAAAAAAAGAATTTGGGCAAGAAAAAAAAGAGTGTACTCCTGTTCATGAAAAGAGTCAAGCTCTGTAAAGTATTTAAAGAATTTATTCTGAGCCAAATATGAGTGACCAATGGTCTGTGACACAGCCTCAGGAGATCCTGAGAACATGTATCCAAGGTGGTTGGGATGCAGTGTGGTATTTTATTTATTTTATTTATTTATTTTGAGATCGAGTTTTACTCTTGTCTCCCAGACTGGAGTGCAATGGCTCCATCTCAGCTCACTGCAACCTCTGCCTAGCTATGTTCACGCGATTCTCCCACCTCAGCTTGCCAAGTAGCTGGGATTACAGGCAGTTTTAAGCTTACAGGAATTGAGCAGAGAGCATACAGAGTTTCTAAGAATTCTCAGACTGTGGCCACCCAGTTTTCTTATTGTTTTCTTAACATTTCAAGATGTTAAATCTTGCATTGGAGTGGAATGTTCATTATAACTGACCAATAATAGTTATTATTAACTAAAATCTATAAACTACATTAGGGTTCAGCTTTGCATTGTGCACTCTAAGAGTTCTGAGAAACGCATAATGTCTCATATCCACCATTATGTGCCTACAGATGTTCTACATAAAAATCCCGTGTGTCACCAATTTATCCCTTCTCTCCAACACTCATTTTAAGAAAGGAAACTCTGTTGATGGAAGAACTGCTGAGGGATTCACTGCATCAGGTGTTTTAAGCTGTTCCATCATGCTCACACTAACTTGTTCACACACAGTGCCATTTCCGTTTTTGATTTTGGAATAAATTCCATAATATAATGGTAAATTTATTATCTTCTCCTCAAAATCTGCAGTTCCAGTGGAAGTCCTTTTTACCACTGATGTCTTCTTAGTGCAGGAGAGAGTCCACCCCTAGCCTGGCAGTGCTGCTCTGGGTGTTGGCTTTCTCAGCCCTGGGCCCCACACTGGGGTTACTGAAGACAGCGCCCAGGACTGAGTTGGGGAGACCCTGCCTTGGGACGTAGTTAGAGAGCCCACCCCAGACACAGCTCTGTGGATTCCCAGTAGGCCCTCTGCTAGAGGAAGGAGGCCCTGCTACTCACTGACAAAAGAAGCGACAGTCATTTCACTGGGGAGGGAAGAAAATGCTCCCAGTGATGGGGTTAGATTTGTCATAAACAGGATTATGTGGCAGGAAGGAGAAAACACCCAACTCCTCCTTCAGCCCTCGAGTCTGCCAGAGAAGGAAAGTTGGATTGAGGTCACGAGAGGCTTGGATGAAGCATCAAAACTCATTCCTCAGTATCTCAGCCCTTTGTGGTCAGGGTCTCTGAGGTCTCAGCATCTGCCTCTCTCAAGGTCTCTCTTAAGGGACAGCAGGGTGAAAACTCCTGCGGGAAGGGAAGCTGATTTGCAGAAAGAACTTTTTCCCCTGTTGGGTCTGGAGAGACCTGAAAAGGCCCTGAGGACAACAAACCCCAGTGGAGAAGCCTGAGGCCACCTAGCCCTTGTGACTGTCCCCACTGTGGCCTGCATGATGCTTCTCCTTGGGCTCCTTGCTTATGGGTCAGGTCAGGGGAAGGGGCTCTGTATCCATGGAGGGACCACACAAGCAGGGTCCAGGTTACCCTCATCCCCATGACCATAACTGTGTCTCTCCTGTTGGTTTTAGGAGTGGATTCTCAGTCTGTGGTGACCCAGGAACCATCACTCTCAGGGTCTCCTGGAGGGATGATCACACTCACCTGTGGCCTGAGCTCTGGCTCAGTCCCTACCAGTCATTACCCCAGCTGGTACCAGCAGACTCCAGGCCAGGCTCCACACATGCTCATCTGCAGCCCAAACACCTGCCATTCTGGGGTCCCTGGTCACTCCTCTGGCTCCATTCTTGGGAGCAAAGTTGCCCTCCATCACCGGGACTCAGTAGATGATGACTCTGATCATTACTGTGTGCTGCACATGGGTAGTGGCAACTCCACAGTGATTTAAACCATGAGCAGGTGCAACTAAGACCTCTTTACAACTTAGAATGATTCAGCCCTTAGAGGCAGGAGAGAAGGTGAGAGGGTGGGAATATCAACACCATGAGCGGGTTGCCTCCTTGCTGCAGTCTTCTGTGCAGTTCACTGTCAGGTGCTTCATCCAGTCTCTCCCAGGATGTGTCCACCTCCCCAGTGTGATGCTTCCATGAATACATAAACTCACAGTGACTCACAGAGACACTTGTGTTCCAGGAAGACTCTTCTAATTCAAAGAGAATCAACAGGCATTTGTTCATGGAGACCAATTTAGTATTTTTATCGCTGAAGTAAGGGCATGGCCAAGTGCCTTGTGAAAAATGCAATTCACCAACCTAGATCTGCTGAATCAGAAACTTGTGGTACATGAGATTTACGTTAACATTAATATTTGGGAAGGACTGACTTTTATTATTATAAAGCTATTCCTGGGGAATCTGTTTTAAATGATCTCAGGTAATAGTCCATGACCTCACTCTCCTAAATTCCCATTCAAAACCTCCAGAATGCTCAGAACAGATTTAAAATCTCAAGCCATGGCCAATATTTGTAACTTTATTTCTGCAGAGATGGGAGGAATTTCCAAAAACATACATTCTTAGGTGCCAGGTGTGGTGACTCACGCCTATAATGGGAGGCTGAGGCATGAGGATTGCTTGAGGCCAAAAGTTTGAGACAAGCCTCTTCCACATAGTGAGATTGCATCATTAAAAAAAAAAAAAAAAAAAAAAAAAAAAGACATAAATCCCTTTAGGAATTTCCAAAACTGAACTTTTTTTAAGGTACATTTAGTGGCTCACATGAATATTTCTGTTATTGGAGACCATCCCCTGTAGGACTGGCTCCAGAATGTCTTCTCCCTCCCACTGAGCTGACCTACCTGCATCTCTGGTTTTTAGGATCTTTAAGACACAGCGATCAGCCTTCCCCATCCTGTGCCTCTTATCACAGATTGTCCCACAGGATCACAGTTTTACTGAGATCTCCTCAGAACATATATGTACTTGTCCTGAACAGTGTCTCTTAATATGATGCCAGCAAGATGAGAAGGACTCAGCGGTGACAGACTCTTGGAGGCACCTGGGGATGACCTGTGTCTGCATGGCTTTGCTTTGCTGAGCTGACCTCACTGGCCTCGGTCTTCCTCTCTGCTCCCCTCCCCTGAGTCTGTCTCCTGGCCACCCTGGATCCAGGAGCTGCCTCCACTTGACCTGGGTTCTGGGGTCACCTCAGAGACCCCCTCAGTGAGATAAAGGAGGTGCTGTGGGGATCTAACGTGTGAGGGCAGATTTCAAGACTGTCCCTGCACAGGAAGCCCTGTGAAAAGAAACAAAGCAGCCCTACCTGTGTCTGGCACCCGAGTTTTTAGTCCTGTCTCCCTGAGCTCATGGCTGTGTTGAGATTGCAAATGTGTGGTTTATTATCCAGGTCAGGAGAAATCCACGACTATTTATGAGCACAAAGACAACTACCCTGTATATTTATCACACAATTAAGATACTGGCCTACTTTGGGAGGTCAGGAGTTCAAGACCAGCTTGACCAACGTGATGAAACCTTATCTCTACTAAAATTACAAAAAATTAGCCGGGCATTGTGGCAGGCGCCTGTAAAATCCCAGCTACTTGGAAGGCTGAGGCAGGATAATCGCTTGAACCTGGGCAGTGGAGGTTGCAGTGAGATGAGATTGTGCCACTGGCTTCAGTGTTGGTGACTGCAATGTACTGTTTCTAGCAGAGGCCAGGGAGTCCTCCCAGGTTTCTCCTAAGATACTCTTCAAACTCTAGTAAGCAGCGGGACTCTGGGGTCCCAGCTGCTTCTCTGGATCCAAAGATGCCTCAGCCAATGCACCATCTTTGTGCCTCCTCCAAAGTCTTCAGTGAGAGATTTTTAGCTTGAAGCAAAACATGTTTGCCTGAAAAAACATAAACAGAATGAGAAGAAGTGAGAAGTGAATTGACCTAAAAGTTACACTGAAGAAAATTATACCACAACATCAGATCTATTTGCCTGAGGAAAATCAGTTGCTAGTTAAAGATCTGATAACAGAAGTCACCCCCTCAGCTGAACTTGGTCAGAGACATTAGCAGGGTGACTGTACCAGGCCAGGGTAACAGAGAGGCGGTTAGTGCCTCACTTTCCCGTGGGTCTTTCCCACTGTGTAAGCCTGCCAGCTGCTACAACAATAATAGTAAGCTTTGTCCTCAGCCTGCAGCCCAGGGATGTGCAGAATCCCTGCATTGGCAGGGACTTTTTTATTTCAAAATGTTGAATCATTTAAAAATAATAGATGAATGTTTTCATTTGAATTCTGGTTAATTTCAACAATGCTATGTGAAATACATATATCTGAAAACAATGATAATGCTGTTCCAAATGTATTAATTATGTAATAGCTCTTTTAAGTCAGACAATTGTTTAAAAATGACTTGAGTCTAATAGGTTTCTTCTGTCTTTAAAACTCTCTACTCAAGCCTGTAATCCCAGCACTTTGGGAGGCCGAGGCGGGTGGATCACGAGGTCAAGAGATCAAGACCATCCTGGTCAACAAGATGAAACCCCGTCTCTACTAAAAATACAAAAATTAGCTGGGCATGGTGGCATGCACCTGTAGTCCCAGCTACTCAGGAGGCTGAGGCAGGAGAATTGCTTGAACCCAGGAGGTGGAGGTTGCAGTGAGCCGAGATCGCACCACCGCACTCCAGCCTGGGTAACAACAGTGAAACTCCGTCTCAAAAAAAAAAAAAAAACCTCTCTAACATAGATTCAAGGATGAAAATGATAAATTGATTAGACATTTTGTATTATGAGTTCAGTAACATTGTTAAAAAGTATATTAATCTAAGGTTAGGAATATTGTCAGAAAGAGAATGCATTCTTTAGTAAATCTGTAAAACAATAGTTTTGGAATTGCCTTATATAGCATTCTGGTGGTTTAAAATTAGTTTATATTGTAAATATTACATATGAGCCTTGAAGAATAAAGTGTTATTGTTTTTCTTTTTTTCCCCCTTTATGAGAATTTATTTACTTTTGGAGGAAATTACTTCTGTTGAACTCTTGATCTACTTATGATAAGTAATCCCAGAATGTTTGGGAAAAGCTCCTTTTGTTGTGTACTAAAACAGTTGCTATTCTCATGATATTTATTTAAGATTTTTTTTGACTTGCAGGAGAAAACATTTGTTCAATTATTAACAAATATTTATCGAACATCTGCTCTGTGCCATGTACTCCTGTGTCAGGTGCTAGCTACATGTTGGTGAATAAAACAGACTCTCTCCTTATAGAAATTGTGTCTAGTGAGCACAGGAGTAGATTCTGTGAGTGCTACAATGGAGAGTTAAATTGAGCTCTCTTAGATTTGCCAACATGTAACATATTGTTCTTACCAATTTCTTATTTTAAAATAAATGTTAGTGTACAAAGATAATCTAGGTTTTAATGTATATTCAGAAATATCTATTTTTCTTAGTTAAGAGTATCTACACAAACATAGCAAATAATTTATAGTACGCATCAGATATAAATAATATAAAAGTCAATGAAGTGTTTTACCAGAGCTTGATCTAGTTTCTGATTTGGTATTTTAATGACATAGATAAAATATCACTTTATAAAGAAGTGTTGTTTCACACTATAGAAGCTTCCCTAACAGGTTTAAAATAGCTTCTTGAAAAAATAGCAACACCATCTTTAATCTGAAGGAAATCCGATTGTCCAAATACATCTGTTAAGATGTAACATACGAATAGGTAACACACTGTGTAAGATTATTTATAAGACATATTTTAAAGATTTTAAAAATACTTAATGTACTCACTTTGTGCTGTAACTACTAACATTTCTGCTCTGTGGCGGTGACTTGTAAGAAATGAGAGGTGGCAAGGCACAGGTGCAGACTGTTGTTGGGTGGGTCAGCTGACACTAGGGTCCTTTGAGCTGATTTAGGCCACTTGCCTTGGTCTCAGAATCACTGCTCTCATGGCTACTGAGAAGCAGGCTGTTGAGAAGGTGTCAGAGGCCTGCAGCCAAAAGAACCAGAGGCTGAAGCAGGCCAAAGTGGCAGCTCAGGTTGAAATTGAACAGTGCCACCTGCAGAAAGAGAAAGAGTTCAAGACCAAGGAAGCTGTGGTGCTGGGATCCCGAGGCAGCGGCAGCATGGAAGTGGAGGAGACTCAGGATAAGATGACTATCCTCCAGACCTACTTCCAGCAGAACAGGTCTTCTTGGCCTCTGTCTGTGACATCTGGCTGGAAATCCATCAAAACCATGGCATAAATGGACAGAACGAGAAGCGCCTGCTCCATGGACTAGCATTTTAGCTGCCCTCATGAAATAAGAAACTTTAGCAAAGCTCGAGTTACATTCTGACGAGAAGGCATTTAATTTTTTCTGTATGTTGTATAGTTGGTCCCTTCACGTTATGGAGAGCAGCAAACCCAGCCTCTTGTGCAGACATAGAGCTAAATATGTTATCCTTTTACTTCATGTTTCTTAGGAATTTAATGGTTATGTGCTGTTTTCCTATGCCTTTTGGCTCAAGTAACATATAGCAGTGTTGACTTTTTCTTTCTTTAGATCTAGTAAAACAACAAGAAAACAATCTTTGAAGAAAAGAAGGAATTAAATAGTTTTCCTCTAATGCTTTCTTGAAGGTCAGGGACTTTATCAATGAAAAAGTGGTAAACAGTTATTTGTTACCTGTGTGAAGCAGCAGCCAGCCCTAAAGGACTCCATTACTTCCAAGGCTTAGAACAGTGACTACTCTTGTAATTGCTCGGGCTTCTGTTAGTTTCTCTTAATCAAAATTACTATATGATAGAATTAATGTTACTATTTGGTGTACTAAACATAATTTAAAGACTCTGTTGTGCAAAAAAAGGAAGAAATGAGAGGCAAAGAATGTTAAAATAGCAAAAATGTTTTTATGAGAGAGTTAACCTGTTTGTTTGTTTGTTTGTTTTTGAGA